TGGAGGACAACACAATGGCCGTGTCGTGGCTGCTGCCTCGTTGTCATCCTCGCTCACCGCATTTTACGACTTTCCTTAATCTGACAGATACGTCACGGCCGCTCTTCCCAGGTATCTGTATGTATGTAGGCCCCTGTCGCCGTGTTCCATGTCTCCGCTGGTGTGAGACAGTTGCCCATGAGAAGACACACCCGTAGGACCAGGGCACAGTAATGGAATGCGTTATTAAATATGATTGTATTGGGTGAAAGTCGAGAGAAATTCGCGTCGACATCTGTTCAAGTGGCTGCGAAATGCAGAAGCAAGGAGCGGAGCAGGAGTAGGAGGAGGAGGAGCAAGGGCGGCTGCCCTCAAAGGGATAAAGAATTATGAAAACGGTTAGTTGGCACAACAAGAGCAGCCATCGATAAGGCCTTCTCGACGATTAGATGGAGTGGAAAAACATTTTCCCAGAACACAAACTGTAGAGCCTCGTAAATTGTCGCAGATCAAAACAATTGGCCACCGTACGGGTCGCCCTCTCGACGTCGATGTCGATGCCGGTGTCGGAGTAGGTGCACGCCATAATGTTTATTAGTTGGCAAATTGTGTGCCCGAGAGCCTCCAACTCCGCCAAGATGGCGATATCCATGCCCGTAGTCGAGGCAATTTTCAGCTTGGCAATATTATGCAATATAAATCAGCAAATGGCATCGCCACACACACAAAAACACACACAAATATGGTGGAGAATGGCGAGGGTGGTTCTGGTGGCTGCCACTACAACAGAACACAGAACACAGAACACCCAGCACCCAGAGGGTGGGATAAGCCTAGGTGAGCAGGATGCGACGACGGTGCGGAGGACGGGGCAACAGGCCGACATCGTAGCCAACTTTAATTCGAAATGATAACAGAAGTTCCGAAAATGTAACAAGCAACCGTGAAAGCAGAAGGAACACTGCCAATCCCTGCCCCGCCGCCACAGTGGGCGCGAAGTATTATTCAACAGAAACATTCACATAAAATACAGATACGTAAAATGTTTTCAAAACTATGATAAAGTACATGCAAAATAAAATATTTTTGTGTTTTAATCTTACTCTATTATTAAGTAAATAATATTTAAATAAATCCAACTCTGGTCTTTTCAGCCCACTGTGCACAGCCAACAAGGATGGCTGTGCTGTACCTGAAACCAATTCGGTCTCTCTTCCCGACTACCAACATTCCATATAAATTAGTCTCGTGGGTGCAATTTTATTAAATCAACAAAAATTTGCAATGTTGGCAACGTGTTTTAGCTTCAGTTTCAGCTCCTGCCTATGCTGTGGCTTCTGTTCTGTTCGGGTCGGAGAGCGAGGGAGCCCTAAGTAGCCGTAGTGAAAGTGCCATGCATGGGGTTGCTGGGCGGTCTATCTGTATCTATGCATATCTGTATTTGTATCTGTATCTCTGCCCTGTTTGTGTGTGGCAACGGTGGTGGTTTCTCATATTAAAAAGATTGTGTTTCATTTGAATGCGGTGCGCATTTGTCGGTTGGTTTCTCGGTGGATTATTATAATATATTGAAGATCGCTTAGTTGAAATTTAGTGTTAATGTCAATGGGGTCGTACAGGAAAACAGCGCCATGATGGCCTCCCTTTTGCTTGTGTTTGCCTGCAATTGTTGGCATTTGGATCAGGTTTCATCACATCCCCAAACTATTAGGTAGTCAAAAACCCTCTGCCAATCCATTCGCCATTTTTTCTCGCTCCCTGCCTACCATTTTCAATAAGTGCAATTACAAACTCACTTTTCAGTTCCCCCTGCCGCCATCGGGGAGTATCTATTGAATGGCAAAAATTGTGATAAATGCTCGCCGAGGGCTTTAAAATTGGGCGCGTAGAGAGGAAAAACTCATTCTTCTTTGTTAATAAATTATGATGTAGCAGCACGGCGGGATGTGCAATTTTGCAACAACAAAATAAAAGTGGAAAGACAAGAAAAACAACAACAGCAACGACAGCGGAGAAAGTGTACACATTAAGGCCTACACGTTACACGGTGGAGATGGAGATGGAGTCTGTGACGGGCCAATCTATTCCGGAGTCGCCTGAAAAAGTGCCAGGGGATAAAGTCAACCTGTGCATTCGCAATGAGCTGCGAGCTGGGGGGGGGAGACACCCGGGCCCGACGCATCATCCCAGTCACACCAGAGCAGAGGATTCACCGGCTGCCAATTTCCGGGCACGGGACCGGGGACTGGGATTGCGATTTCGATTGGGAATGGGAATGGGAATGGGAATGGACTGGGGCACCCTTTTTGCAAACACACTGCTTCTGGTTCAGGTGGGAGTGGGACTCGGACTGGGCGGAGGGGGACTGTCGCTGTTTGCACTTGTTTGAAAAAAACTCCCTTTGGTCCGCCATTAATGTGGGCTTTGGCCCGGTTCGAGGGTGCCATCGAACAGGGTGTTTTATGCCTTGTTTTATTTATGCAAAATTATGTTTCAATTAAACGAAACGCGCACTGTAATTGGCCGCCATTTTGCCCGGGTTCAGCCAGGACCCAGCCAGGAACAGGGTTCGCGGCTGGCAACATCTGCGATGGGCTGTAATTAGGCCTCGCATATGCCGCGGCACCAACAGCATCCGCATCAGCCCCAGTCGCAATGCTGAATCAGAATTTAAAGTAGGATCATCGCTTGGCGTTTGTGGCTTTGTTTGCCCTGTCAAAATATTGTAATTCTCTTTTGGCCAGGGCTCAACCCGCGAACGAATTTGAATGCCATAAATTGCCAGAGTTTATGTGCGATTTGGCATTAGAATTACACGGCCGACTAGCGTTGATCCGCGGGGTCGCGGCACTGAGAAGTGGTGGGTATGCGAGTATATGGTATATGTATTCGTGCAATATGAATAAAACATATGGCGGGAAACGTTGTTCCAACGCCTCCAAATGTTGGCATCACGCTGGATTGGTGAGAACCATCCAGTTGCCGGAAACTCCTCAAGCAATTAACGAAAGAACAAAATATAATTGAAGATAAATGGAAAATAAATATAAGAGTTGTAAAGCAAAAAAAGAATGAAACAGATTCGAATGCATTTAAAATTCGTTTGATGATGGAAAAATCTTCATTAATACAAAAATTATTCGCTTGCTATATTCAGCCTGATTGAAGACTTTTCCTTCTAGGGCAGTGCATGGATAGAATGTATTTTGAGATTGTTTTTGCACAGCTTATGACATAAAATATTTCAAATGTTGCCTTATCGCGTCGTTGATCGCCTTTGGGACAGTTTAACCGACACAAAAACTTTTCTAATAACAGCATCCAAATGTGAACTTATGCCCAGCTCGTCTCGGCCCGCTTCCATGCAGCTCTGCGTGCTCGTCCTACGTGCTCTGCATTGTGAGCAGAGACATCCGCCGTGAACCCAAGCCCGAACTTGTGCCCATACCTTACACTCGCTCCTACTCTCGCTCCAAGTGCCGTGCCCATTCCCCCCACATCAATGGGACAATCTTTGGAACGCCATTTTGACGTTTTCGAAAGTTTCTTTTATTGCATACATGAGCCTGCTTCGGGTGCTTGGGCTTCCGTTTCCGCTGCCTTTGACATTGCCGAGGACTCAGCTCGTTGACGCAGCCATTACGCCGTCGTTGCTCCAAACAGGACAAGGACATCGTTTGGCTCCGTCCCCCTCCTCTTCCCACTTCCTCTTGGAAGTCCGCCCCAAACTCCTCCGCTCCTTGGTGCACATGTGTGTGTGCCATAAATGCCGTCGTTATGTGTGCGCTTATTATCATAATCCGTTGAGTTGTTGCCGCATTAATTAAATTTAATTAAAGGCGTTTTGCAACAGTTCAGGCCAGTACGTGGCCACGCTGCAAATTGCATAACTACATCTCCAGCCAAAGCGAAAGCAGAGCCATCCTACACTCCCCCCACAACCAGGCCACACGACAAGCCCTAACCGCAGTCATCCTTTGGTCGAGCCATGAAATCAATTTCCATAAAACGGCACTCGTTAATTAATATTTGTGGCATCGGCATTAGCAAACGAGAATTTATGCCCCCGAAGGAACTCTATTCGATCAAGACAATGTGAACGGAAATCTAAGTGAAACATACGGTTTGATATATGAGAGCGGTAAGGATTAATTATGTGTCCACTGTGCAAGTGCAGATAAATTACTGTGCACTAATTTCAGAGGGAAAATGATAATGATAATGATAATGATAAATTCTCATCTTTGAATTTGAATTCTGCTTAGGTTTCCCCAGGGAATTAGGCCCATATATTCCCTATATTTCCCGAGCATCGCTGGAGCAATGTGTGCAGTCATAACCCCACGATATGAGTCACATTTTCTCATTGCAGATTAAATTGCAGCACAGCACCCAGTGCGCAATTATTTGGAAGGCATTTCTTTAGGTTTTATTTGTATTTATTTATTAATGCTTCACTTCAGTTGCTGGCTTATGCTTAAATCATTTTTTTGTTATATTTTTTTGGGGGCTTTCTTCAGTGAATGAGTGAATCATGAATCAATATTTCACTCAGCCCCTTGGCGCCGGCCAACACTCTGCGAACGCTGGGAATTGTGGCCTCCATAGATGAGTTTTAGTGTTTTATTTTAAGTGTTGGGTTAATCCACTTTCTTATTGTAAATAGTAGTTATGCATTATTATGTACAAGTACAATGGCAAATATTGGGGCACCCCTTTGCGGTCTAATACTAGGATATTTATAAAGTTCGAATATAATTCAGTTACGTATATTCCGGCTCCTGTCTCCATCTGTGAGGCTGGGTGAGTAAACTTTGTTGGTTAGTACTATAAAGTCATCGACTTGGTTGCTACGTATATATGTTCTTTAGGTATTAGACTAGTGTTTAGTTTGATTTAGTTTCGAGTTTTGGGACCTTGGCAAGTGGGTCGCCTTATGGATGGGTTGTTCTTGTTGCAGTTGTTTCCCAGTCGATGGGTGAGCGCGCTGGGCGAGGTGGAGGTGAGTGAAACAAAGGTGGTTTAATCGTAGTTATTTTCGCATTCATTTAAAATCGCATAAAATTATATAATACACAATTCGTCACAACTAAACTTAAACTAAAATTAACAGAAGTATTTAGAATTTAGGATCAAACAAAATATTAATTATGCGCTAATTTGCTAGGCCATCCGAATGAGTTCAGACTTAACCAAATAAAAAACACAACTATACAGAAACGAAAACGAAGCTGGAATCGGAAACGGAAACAGTAACATAATTTTCTTCAATCTTCAATCAGGTCTTGAAAAAAGGCAAAAGGTTGTCGCTACCCATTAATATCACTCGAACCAATGCAAACCAGGGGGACTAAGCAGACCTGAAGGGGGTGTCCGTACTCCTAAAGCGAAAGACGTGCGCAGGGTGGGTCATGGGCATGGGCATCTGCATGCTGATTGCTGGGTGGTGTGTGGAAAAATGTGACTCGACTTTGACTGCATTTAATGTTAACACGCTAGATACACATACATTTAGGTATTTATACATACACATAGGGTTCCATACTGTATATATTTGTAATATATATTCATATATATTTATATATGTATATTTGTCATTAATTGTTTACGTAAATATTTTTGCGCAGTGTAAGCCCGCTCGTCTCCTCATCGGTTGTGTATAATAAATAGATCTTGACTTTCATTCAATTCTTTAATGCAATCCTCAAAGATTCTGCTAGGTAAATTTAATGTCGGGAAGTGAAAATCTACGTATATGGGGTTCTGCCGCCATCTCTTTCTCTCTCGCTTTGTTGGCCCTATCTCCGTATCCCGTATCCCTTATCCCGTATCTATCTCCCACAATCGACACAAACTGTCGAGGATAGTTTTCTTTTGTTTTATCTGTTGTTGCAACCTTAAGCTAATACGTATTTCAGAGTTCTATTCAGAGTTTGTTTGTTTGTTATTCTTTTGTGTGGTTGTGTGTGGACCTGCGAGGCCAGCAATCAATCAACGTCTAGCACATACTAGACTAGCACTTAACTGTAGTTAATTTAAAATTTTAGTCACTGGCAAAACGACAATTTTCAATATTTCTTGGCTTCGTGTGAATCAATCCTTCTTCCGCTTATATTTCCATGAATTTGTTTCGTGATTTGTTATTATTATTACGTATTTGAAATCGTGATTATGCTTCTGGTATGTTGCATACCGTTCGTTCTTACAGCTTGTATTTATGGAAATTATCTTGCGCAATTCGTTTGCGCACTTTTAGTTTTAGTTGAGGCGAATTAAGATTAATATGGCATTCAAGAAATCAGTGTTTCCATAGCGTGGGGCATACAACAAAGTGCGGCAATCACACAGGGTAAACACCTCACTTAAACAGAGCAGTGGAACAGGGGAAAACAAGGATAAACAAGGACTTCCAATAAATAGTTATGTAAATACACAAAGGTACACTCTAACTCTATATATAGTATAGTGTGTGTGTGTGTGCTCGTGTTAAACATAGTCCAACGTGGCTCGTACTAGGTATGTGTAATCCTACTGCAGTCGCAAAATAATTTTACAGTTGATCTCGTCTCGTTACCCTCCCTGGGCTGGTGTCGCCTGGTAACGCGGTGACTCTCTGACTATCAAAAATCGCTCGTAGATCGCAAACTTATCCTTTAAGCATGTACCGCTATCGCTATCGCTATTCTAAGTAGTTCAAGTTATCTATTAATGTTAGCAGGTTGCGCACTTCGGCCCACATCCGATTCGCTGGGGGCTGGAAATCGATTGAACGAGCCATCGAGCATCCACTAGGGGTTGAAGCGGAGAAGAAAATGGAAGAAGAGGCTCCGTGGAGCTGCAATAAAATCGAATTGGGTGGCGCTGCCTATCAAATAGACAGCTCCACTCCAGGAAAGCTCGGGAGAGCGGATGTACCGATACATAACTCAAAGCATCAACTCCTTCACCCCACAAACCGCATCGGAGCCACAGTGCGCACTCATTGATTTCGCATTTTTATGTGTGTGTGTGTGTACTGTACGTGTGTGTGTGTGTAGGCTTATATGTTTTTATATCCGTTAATTGTAGACTTATGCAGCTATTTACTATGTAAAGGTTTACGTATTTTAGTTATCGAGTTTATCTTTCGCTTTCTCGCTTTCTCTACTCAGACGGAGAGGCGAAAAAGAACGCCGAACGTGGGGCGGTGGTGGCGTGGTGCTAATGCGGAAGGTGTTGCTGGGGCGGGGGCAGCTTAAGAGTTCACCTTACTAACCGCCTTCAGCAGATCGTGGTTGCTCTTGTCCAGGGCACTCATCATGCCCAGGTTGCCGCCGAGTCCGCCACCAAGTCCCGGTCCGAGCCCAGCGCCGACACCAACACCCACGCCCATGCCCAGGCCGAGCTTGAGATCGTTCTGGCCCACGACGGAGTGGTGCAAGTGGCCCGGATTGTGTGCGATGATCGAGTGGTGGTCCTGCTGCTGTTGCTGCTGCTGCTGGTGCTGCTGCTGCTGTTGCTGCTGCTGCTGCTGCTGCTGTTGCTGTTGCTGCACTTGCTTGTTCTGCTGGGCGGATTTCATCGTCTCCTGGGCCTTCATTTTCTCCTGCTCTTCGCGGTCACGTCGGGCCTTTAATGGGAAGGAAAGAGAGATAAAGGAGTTGTAGTATTTTTCCGGAAAATCAATCTCTAACCAACTGCTACATTGAGTGAGAGAATCATGGCGCATCGACTCACCTGCTCGTTGATCTCCTTAACTGCGCGCAGCTCCTTCTTCAACTTCATGCGGCGGTTCTGGAACCAGATCTTGATCTGGCGCTCGGTCAGGCAGAGCGCGTGTGCAATCTCGATGCGCCGCCGCCGCGTCAAGTAGTGGTTGAAGTGGAACTCCTTCTCCAGCTCCAGTGTCTGGAAGCGCGTGTAGGTCTGTCTGCCGCGTCGGCGTGGGCATCCGTTGGGGCCTGTGGGCGGGAGAGGGAACAAAGAGAGTCACGTCAGTCACGCACTCATACTGCCTGTCGGCTGTCGTCTGTCGTCTGTCTGCTGTCTGTGCATTGGTGTGATGATGTTGTTCGGCTTCTTTGGGGCTGTCTTTTTTGGCAACTCTTAATGAGCCGCAAAGACGCTGTCTGACAGACTCTGCCAGCCTCGCCCTAACGGCCTGAAACACATGATTTGTGTCTGGGGATGGGATTCTGGCTGGGGAGCTGTAAGTTCGAAGCGGAGAGAGAGAGTACACTGCGAATGTCTTTCTGGCTGCAAATTACGAGCTAAACAAACAGTTTGTCTAACAATCATGTTGGAAGGGTGAGGCTGGAGAGCAGCCTGACGTCAGCGACAGCAGCAGCAGCAGCAACGGGCGCCCCAGGACTTGGACTCCCCGGGGAGCAGGCTGACCCAGCGCTGATTCCGCCTCGGATTGCACGCAGTGCATGGAAGGGTGAAGCAACACACCGACTCCCGCAGCGGCAGGTCTCGCCACGGTGGCCAGCAGTATACGCCGAGCGCTTTTCACTCGGTTTTCCTTCGCTCCCACACCATGCCAGGCAATTCCTATTTTTTCTGTCTTTTTTTAACGATTTTCCACGCTACCTGTGCGAATTTTTTGCGCGACGGTGCACAGGCTCCGGCTCCGTGTTTATGTTACGGAAATCAAAATTTCGCTATCTACAAATTGTTGCCTCATCCTCGGGCTCAGAGCCTCTCACTTTGGCTCTACCGCTTGCCGTTTTATGGCTTTTATGCAGTGTCTCTCTCTCTCTCTCTCGCTGTCTCTCTGTTTTTTTGGTGTTTTGTTTTGCGTTTTGTGTCGAGTCTTTCCTGTAAAAGGTTTTCGTGTCAGCAGCAATTTTTTATGGTTGCAAGTTGCGACTTTCCCACTGCAACAACAACCGAGCCGAATAAAAAAAGGAAAAAAAGGGACAATTTTTGCGTAATATTGTGAAAGGTGCAGATCTGGCGAATCTCCTCTGCAGTTGCAGTTGCAGCTGTAAATCATTTCGGGTTTTCGAACATTCTATGCATTTTTTTATGATATTCGGCAGTTGGCAAAATATTTATGGATCGATTGAGGCCGTGAAATGAGCGGGCAGGAGCAGCTCTACCTGAGCTGGTGAGTCATTCCAAGGCAGGAGAAGAACCACTCTTATCGCCACAAATTGAAACTAATTCCATTCTCTGGCCAAGCACTCTGATATTTTTAATTTGAGGAAAGCTTCCGGGTATCATAAAATCGAGAAACATTCAGATCCTGCCCTCTGCGAAGTGGTGAGGGGAAAAGCAATTTCAATTCTAATCAACCTCCAGCCCTGCCCTGCGGTGGAGCCCCTGTTCGGTGGCAGGAGTGGCTGGGGGGTGCACCGGAATACCGAACTAATCTAAATTATTTACACGCTACAATGAGCAGCTACAATTCGTCCTATAAATCACGACTCCCAGGACACACGCGCCCCTAAACGAGATTTACGAGCCCCGCAATGGCGGATGCGGCGCGCAGGTGCGAGCGAGATGGCTGCAGTGTGCACAGGAGTGATGGAATCCAACATGGCTGCCGCAGTGTCTGTGTCGGACAGGTAGACACACGCACACAAGCACCGAGTCAGAGAGAGAGAGAGAGAGCGTATGCATGGCAACGCAGTGACTACGACCATGGAAGGACGCGGTGGGGGGGAGCTCAGTGGTGAGTCGGCGCAGGCAAACCGGATTTTCGAGAGAGCGAGAGACAGACAGAGAGGGAGATACAGAGTGAGCCAACTTTGAGTCACATGGCAGCGAGAGTTTACTATTGATTTTCCATTGAGCCGCACGAGGAAAACATTTTCACTCAATTCATTTCCCAACTAGCATTCAAATCATGATTCGAGCACACCACGCATTCAACTAAGTATTCAAAATACAAAATCCTTCAGGAAAATATCAACAGAGGCGCATTCGTGACTGGGACTCCATTGAGGGGGTCTTTAAGAGTTCATTGATCTTCAGAAATTCCAGTCGAAATGAGGAATAATAAATAAGGATTTACTATGGACGGGGCAGACTTAATCAGGCAGGTACCCCATACACCCATGTTTCCTTGGTTTCTCACTACGTTCACCTCGCTACATTTACCTAATATCTCGATAGTCTTGACAGATACTCGCTGAGGGAGGGGGCCGTCTAACCGGTTCGTTGCACAATTGCGCAGAAAACCATTTCAATTTACCAATTAAAAATCAATTAGCGCGCCGTAAATCGAGGCTAAAATTGACTGATGCGGCAGCGTCTGGCCCCAAATGCAACAAGTAAACAAATCAGCGAACTAGAACCAGAAACAGAAACAGCAGCAGACAGACATTCCAGACGCGGCGGCGTTGGCCAAGTAGAGCAAGAGGTACAGTCCAAATGGGAATACAGAATCTGATTAAGACACGGGAGCGTAGAGCAGGGACCAGGGACCAGGGACCCGTAGTGACGAGGAATGACAATACGAGATGGCTGTCCCAAGGCGCCGCTGTCAACGTTGTGAATGGGATTTGGATGGTTATGAGAATGGTTATGGGATGGGAATGGAAATGGGAATGCGAATGGGCCCAGACCCCGGACAGCGTCTACAACAATGACATTAACAATTAAAAATATTAATAATCATAAACGTAAACGTAATTGTTCAATAAACAGCGGCGCGTATAAATAAGCGCAAAAACATACGAGAACGAGGCACAGAAAAAAAACAACAGCGCAGACTGAAACTTATGATGACATAAAAATCATAAAAACAATTCAAAGCGTACAATAAAGATACACAAACACACACACACACACTCCAGTGGAGCAGGACTGGGCGGGGGGGAGGTGAAAAGCACCATAGTTTATACGGGTGTGAGTATTTGTATCTTTGTCTGTTTCGTATCTGTGTGCACTCGAAAGTGGTTCCGTGGGGACGCTGCCAGTCCGCCGCGCCGCCGACTGTTTTTCAAGCGACACAAAATTGTACAATAAACAAACATTCATTTTGTTGTATTTCGTGTTTAGTGTTTGGCTTCTATTCCGTCCCCCCCTGCGCCACCTCTACCCATTGTTTTTTGGAAAATAATAAACAAATTTACATATCGCTTGACACAGAACTCTCTGAAACATTGTGGTCAGGCCACAGTTCCAGCCGCGAGTTCTTGCCAGAGTGTTGTATGTATGTATGTAAAATGTATATACATATGTACGCATACATATTTGTACTCGTAACCCTGTTGTTTCAGTTGTGGCAATTAATTTGAGTTCTTTGTCGGACCTAAGTGTTTGCCGGCCCATAAATTACTGATTTTGCTGCTGTTGACCAGCCGAGAATTGGGCATCGAAAGTTCTGCCCGACACTCCGCCTGTTTGTTGACTTTTGGCGCGCAAAATTGTTCTGTGTTTGTCTTTGAACGGAATTTGGGGGAAATCTTGGGAGGTTTTTTCTGCACACTCGACTGATCTCACATCTGTGGATGCATTTCAGTCCGGACCCCCCGCGGGTGCGTAAGCAATTCTTTGTCCGACAAAACGGAAAGAGCTTGAAAGTGATATCTTCACTGGAGACCGCCCAAAATATGGGAAGAGAATACAAATGAAAATAAATATTAACAATGAAAAACAGCAGAATATTTGTGCTTGAAAGCAGAGAACAAATCATTTTCGAGATTATGCGATCGAATCGATCCCCACAAATGTAATATTTTGGACTATCCCCAGTAAATAGTAGTAAATATTACTACATAACTTTACTTTTCTACCCGCAATACCATCGATATTAACATATGTACATATTTTTTATTGATTTATTTAACTTTTGCATTCGTATTTATTATAATGTTAATTCTTTTTCCCAGAAATTTGTGTTCCTTTTGCGAGCTTCTGTGTATTGTGTACAAGTACAGATACATAAATATCTACATACACTATTTGAAGGCTTATTCACGCCCTGTTATATCTATCTGGTTTATTGAAGAAGCAGATACAAATGTATCTATCTATCTCACTTGTGAGCTGTGTGTTCGTGGCTTGTTTGGGATGTTTTATGCTGATTTGTTTATATTTGGTATGAATTTTCGAAACTAACTTCCCGGATGGCATGTTGAAAGATATATAAACAAACGGCGGACATTTAACATTCCCCAATATCCACCAATACACACACGAGTATACATATGTACATATATGTATATGTAAATATGGGTACGCAAATGAGGAATGTTGTCTGATGGCTCAAAGATTTCTTTTCTGCTCCGTGAATTTGATGGAGTTCATTGTTTCCCCGAGCTGGGGAATGATCTTTTGAGCATTTAGCGCAAATTGCAGTGTTCTCTGGTAAAACGACATCCCCAGGGATATGCAAATGCGCGGAGTCCGTGGAGCACCAGTGCCAGAGCAGCGGCGACGAAGACTAATTAAAGTTTGAAAGAAAAGCCGCTTAAATGCTCCTTTGACAAGGCTCCCGGGCAACATCTGGCGCCTTTGTGCGGCTTTTAGCCGAGGGAGGCAGGGCGGACGGAGCAGAGCAGGGGATTCGATGGGTGGGGCAGGTAAGCGCCGCCATTAACTTGTGCTCGACTGTGCTCGACTGTGCTCGGGGGTGGCAGAGACAGCGGCAGAGGCAGCTCCTGGCTGCCATTGCAAATAATTTATGTTTATTAAATTTATTTAAATTTAATCAGTCGCGCGAGCATTTTGTACGCACAAGAGCTGTCGGTTGGAGGGGGAGGAAGGGCCAGGGGGGTGTGCTGTGTTTTCCTGCATTTGGGGTTGGAGATGGAGTTGGGGTTGGGGTTGGACCGTGGCTGGGGGATGCTTTCCCTGCAATTTATGTGCAGCGCGTTGCCAATGTTGTTGTCTGTGCCATCAGATCCGCCACGCCCCCCCCCAGTCCGCTGTGCCTGTGCCACCGGCAGGCCTGAGTGCCAGGATTGCTAATTGTGTGCTTAATCTTGGGAAATATATGGCCTAGCTG